TATTTCCTTATAAATAATAGAAGATTCCTAAATTTATATCTATTGACATATTTTGCGTGACTAAGTTGGAAGGTGTGGGGTAATTTACCAAAACAAAATTGTTAAGCATATTATAAGATAAAATAATGATAATATTATTAGAGAGTTAATGTAACATAACTTTCTAGTAACAGTCCATTTTTTTAAAAATCACACATGATATCAAGTCATGACTTCTGTTTTAATATATAAGATGTATAACAACAGTGACATATAGCCACAACATTTATTGAATTTTCTTTACATTGTCACGGATACATTTGAGAACAAAGAGAGAAGAACAGGTACAGAATGTGCAAAGCTTCTGGATGGGAACGAGGGTTTGCATCAGTCTAGAGAAAGCTTGGCCAGTGTGAGGGAAAGTACCTTTACTCCATTAGCCATGTCTTCAGGAGATGAATATTCTTCAGGTTTATGGCTATATCCTGTAAAATATCACCCAAACAAAAAATGATTAATGGCAATGCTGATTTGATCAAGATGACAATCTTATTGATTTAGGCGTATACCTTTGTAGCACGGGATGAATATCATACCCATTGGAGATATCCTGGAAACAGCAAAATGCAACAAAGTTCAACATCACACTAAGAAAGAACAGTGAACGTAGACGGGTGATTCTAAAGATATCATTAGCCAAAAAGGGTCTCTACAAGTGTTCCCATTTCAATTATTTCAAGGTTTGTCGCTGCGTCAATTTGTTAAGGTTGATAGTGCTCAATCTGAAAGTTTAAACTTGTATTCCAAACATGAAACTTGGAGAATTTTGTTAGTACCTTGCCATGAAGAGAGAATCATGATACGCTCTGCTTATCATCATCTTGTGTGATAAGTTCAGCTCTGTGCTTGCTTCTGCCATTTTCTTGATTACTAGTTCGTCTGAGAGTGCCGGTGGATCTTGATTTACAATCTTGAATTCTGTTAGCTTCACTTTTCGTTTTCGAGCTATCGCGTTAGCTGATTCCTGAATCTTCTTGATCACGGTGTTTCTCCTCGCTTCATCAATATCCCTTGTATCTTTAAAAAGAACAGAAGACAAGAACTTAGTCCAAACGTTCGTACAAAAAAAAAACTCTCTCAGCTTCTTCAAGAGCTAATATAACAGAGTTTCTCTTATTAATATGTGTTGTACCGATTTCAAGATGAGATTTGCTTGGAATGCTGTTGATTGCTCCAGGATGCAACTCCAGAATACCTTAAAACCATAACGATTCATATTGTGAATAAGTTCCATGGAGAGTTGAAATTAAGTGAGTTAGAAACTTACCAACAGTTCCTACAGTATCTATTGATTCTGATTCTAACACATGTTTCTCCACGGCTAGAGCCAACTCTGCAGCTGCAAGCCCAGCATCATTCCTAAAAAAAAAATCGTCATTATAGATTTTAATCAATGTACTAGTGGTATCAATGTAGATGGTTAAAGTCTTATAAATATATCTCACCTATAAGGCATAAGCACAGCACCAGCATGACCTCCATTGCCTTCAAATTCCACCTTTAGACTTGCTGGAGCAGCAATGGCGGTTACTACACCAATATCTAAACCTGAGGTCAAAAGAGTGTGGATAAGGTGACTTCATATAAACCAAGAAACTTTTTGAATGCAAGTTAAAACTGTACCTTCATCTTCGAGTATAGGTCCTTGTTCGATATGCAACTCTATAAAAGCAAAGTAGCTTCCATTCTTCAAGAACACACTCGACAAGTCTTCATCTTCTGCGTACCCAGCTGATTTAGCTGCTTCTATAAAGGACACATTCTGTCCATCAACAACTGTTGTCTTTAATGCTTCTGCAAGTTCTTTGCTTCCAGCAAGTAATCGACTGTTTCATTCAAGAACGTTCTCACAAGTAAGACAAAGCATTAATCTATTTTTTTCTTCATATAAATGAATCAACTAAAGAGTTACCTTCCTAAACAGCTGATCCCAAACCGGGTAGGTTCTTCAGATGTGAACAAGATTATCTCCAAAGACCTCTTTGGTTTAAAACCAGACCTTTAGATAAAGAAACACCACCTGAGAGTTTTGCTTTTCGTTAATTCTCTAAACATTTCAGATGCTTCATACCTTTTCAACACATTGATAGCTTCAATGGCACCCAAAACACCAACAACACCATCATACTTCCCGGAATATGGAATAGCATCGATGTGAGAACCAGTGGCTACAGCAGGAAGATTTGGCTCTGAACCATCCCTAAGTTAAAAAGAAATGAAAATAAAACACCAAAATTCAAAAATAATAACATAAAGGAATCATCTTTCAAAAAGGCTTTCAATAAATAAGAGAAAGAGACAGACCATTTGCCAAATATGTTACCAACAGCATCCTCTCTTACAGAGAGTCCAGCAAGTGTCATCAGATTCTTCACATACCTTCAAAAAATCAACCAAGAAACTCAAATTTAGATTTGAACAAAAAAATACATCCTTCCTTTGTGATGCTATTAACATACCTTCGTGCCAAGACATCTTTGTCAGTGTAGAGAACTCTTGTGACTGATGGAGAAGGAGCATCAGAGAAACTAGACAGTTCATCTATCTAATCAAATACAAACCAACATCCCTATTAATCTTCTACTGTTCCACTAACTTTTAGAAAGATTGAAATCAGACCTGTTTTTGAAGTCCTGGAGCATCAACGGAGAGTGAAGAAGCGAGGTTGATGATGGAGCCGAATTGACCCGGTTCGTGAATTGGGTATCCGGAGAAATCCTCCATTGTTCTAATCGTTGGGTTTGATTCATGTTGTTGTTGTTGAGCTAAGCTTGAAGGGAGTGGGGAACAGATAAGGGAAATGAGAAGGAGAAGAAGAGTTTTAGAGCAGAAGCGAGTCGATTCTAAAGATTCCATTTTTTCTATCTCTTCTTCAGTGTTTTTTGATTCTGAGACAGAACAGTTCATAGTTTGGTATCTGTTTATAGAAGAAATTAATTAATTAAACCTTATATAATTGAATCGGTATCAAGTATCAACATTCTTTAAATTGTTTAAATGAGAATAATCAAACTCGGTGGGAATCTGACACGGAGTGTTTTGTTGTACTCTATGCCTCTTTGTCTCTATCCCATGATATCATGTCAAATATATATCTTTGGAATAAAATTTTATATGTCTAGGAATCTTTTTCTAGGGGTTAATTTGTTTCAATCGAAAGTTTTGGTCTCTTCCCCTAAATAAACAGACCATTTGTCTGTACTCTCCAGGATTTGTATCAATTATTTCTTGACTGTTCACATATATAGGCCCGTTTCATTATCTTCAAAAGCCCAACTTGTTGGATCCTACAAGTCAAGCCTTAAATAGAGCAGTTTCATTTCGTACCTGAACGAGGCAAATACGTAAACTCGCTTTCTACCACCCAGTTCGAATTCTCCAAGCTGCAAGCCAAGTCTTTGTTGGTTGGTAATTCTACCATACATGACTCACTGCACCAGCTTTTAACCCTGCCTTGCACTCGTCCATGTCACTTTATTTTTCATGGAGGATAAGTTTGGTAGTTGGATTCTTTGTAAGGTAGACGGGAAGGTTAAGCAATGCTTCAAATCTTGGAGCATAAAATATCTAGCCTTGGAGCTAAAGTATTGATTTATCAGTCCATATGTTTCTAAAAATCTTTTTCTTCGATATTAATACACCACCTTTCTTTTTTCTTTTCTTTTTTTGAACACAACATATTTCATTCATAAACCTTAGCTGATTACAAAGATAAAACCAACATCCGTAAGTTGATGTGTGATCCTACTAGATACATTCAATACAAGGCAATAGAAGGATAGACACAAGCTTTGACAAGCCTGATAATAAGTCGAAAGAAAGTTCAAAGGTGCCACATACAAGTAAGCTTCTAGAGAGATTACATCGTCCTTCAAGTTCTTCAATGGAAATAATCACTGTATATCGTGTCGTTGAGTGCTCCATAACCTTGATTCTCATCGGAATGAGTGTTGTTGTGCCTTCCGGTCCCAAACGAACCATCTCGATGAGGGATTTTGATGAAAGATGGCACTCCTACGAAGTCGGAGGATGGTGGAAAGAGGTCTGTAATGCCCCCTGGCATGAGGAATCTTGGCTAGCCTTTGTTAAGAAAAGTGCTAAGGGACTACAATCTTCAAGTTTTCATTGACTCCAACTTAATAATAAATATCACTTGGTATTTGCTCTTGTCAGAGTTGAACTTTGATGGTGAGCTATGCTTGAACATTTTTTGGAAATCCTCCAAAGAATACATCACTTTTTATAGATATTTTGAAGAAGACTTGCTAGTTCGACTAATAAATTGGACACTAGTCAATCTAATTTTAAATACATATCACTACAACAAAATGAGTATTAATTTCACCTGGAAAATGCTATCTCACGATACCATAACACTATTAGGTATGTTGTATCATCGACCGCGATAATAGGTCTTCCACTTAAAATAGCGTTTTTTATTTCCGCTACAGTATGTTTTAGTTAGATAGCATTTTCCTTTCTGCTATTTAAATATTTTAATATAGCATTTGATTTCTGATATGATCTCATGTCAAAAGTATTTTTTTTTACCATTCATGTTTTTTCAATTAATTTAAAAGCATAATATGATAAAATTAAATATAAATGAAACTTAATATTAAACATTAAAAGATTACATATCTAGTTGACACACATGTTCAACAACATCCACCAACACAAACTTCCCAAACAACACACCAAAGTTTTAAAACATAGCTATCAAACATAAGCATCAGACAAATTTAACTTTATCATTAGGCCAAGCTACAGTGGTACCTAGAACATCACATATGAATTCAACTTTTGCATTTGGTCTCCAAACTCTTGCATCTCCAATCTTTGCCACAACAATGAAGACCTTGCAAGCATTTTCACCTAACGGGAGAAAGTGGACTCTATGCTCTGGATTTGTGGAAACAACACGGCCTTCAGGGCAGTATTGTTACTTTTGTTATTTGTTTATATTTAGGTTATTTTAGTTTGGATTTAAAATATCCAAACTAAATCGGTTAATAGAGTTATTTTTGGTACAAATATCCGAATTTGTTTCAGATACATTAGTTTTGAATAATTTATGGTTTCCGTACATCAGAACTGGATACATCCGTACTTGAAAAAACTCGACTCGAAACCCACCCAAACTTTTATAATACCCGAATGAAACCTAATTTCAAAATCTAAAAAACTCGAGAAGCAACTCGTACCTGAATGAGTACCAAAATTTATATGCCTAACTAATTTTGTAAGCAAATAAAAAATTAATTGTTAACTATTTTGAATTCCGTAAATAATTTCATTCAAACATGTCAAATTATTATTGTTAATATGTAAGTAATTGATGTCAAAATATTATATCCCCTCTGTTTCATTTTAGTTGTCGTTTTAGGTTTTTGAACACAGATTAAGAACACATTAAAATTTTGATTTTTTAATTAATTCCATTTTTTAATTATTTACAAAGCCATGGCATTCCCTTTTTAGTTACACATTAAATATATAATTAAATGAAAAATAACATGGAACCCACAATCTAATAATTCATGTTAATTTCTTACAACTAATTGATATTATTATTTAAATCATTAATTATTGTTTTTAAAAACATGATTATATTTTTTGTAAATATACAAATTGTATAAAGCTTAATCATCAAATACAAACCTATATAATTGAAATATCCACGTTACTTATAAATCATCCACCATTGATGATTATAGAATTAGGTTTCTGGTTTGCAAGTTGCAACTAAGAAAATATTTTTTTTCATTTCTCAAAGACTAATAAATTACTTTCAGTATTAATAGTACACAATAACGATCATTATATACTTTAGATGTAAAATATTCATAATAACAAATTTCAGTAAAAACGATAAAAATACTGAAGATTTCAAATAATCTTTTTAATATATTAGATTTTGGAGTTTTGTCCGAATATCTATCAACTATAACTAACTTAATTTCCACCAAACTATTATCACACCACAAACATTAATTTTAAGTTGGACCTCGAAATTTTATCCATCTAAGCCTAACTACTAAACCTTATTAATATAAACAAAGCAAAGTAATATGGCCCGTATTTGTTTATCATTGAATTAATTTTAAAATGAAAATTTAAAACAAGTGTATTTACATATTTAACAAATAAATTATGTTTTCTCAAAAAACAATTTTGTTTTTGGAAATCAAAATTAAAAATTCACATAATATATATGAAACTTAAAATAACTATTTTAATAAAATACTTTTAGCTTCTTTAAACTTATGATTTTGTGTTATAATACAGGTCGGTTAATAACTCAACTTAAATATATATACTTTAAAATTATGATTTTGTGTTATAATATTGGTCGATTGATAACATAACTTTAAATATATCTTTTGCAGTTTGTAACAAAAAAAACATTAATAACGCGCAACCTAGGCTTCCAAGACGGGGCTATGGCATTTTAATCAACTACTAAACCACCAGACCGCTGAATATGTTTAAAATATGTCAGGAAATGTATTATATATACTGAAATGTATTCGAAATTTTTCTAACAAACGCAACGAGCTACAGTTGTGTAAAAAACAAACATCGTACTGAACTAACACGTATGGATGAATGAGTATTGAATTAATTCTGACAATATAATACAGAATATATAGAGTAATATTTATATGTGGTTTTATAACCAGATATTAAATAGTTATTCCAGATTAAATTTGTAATAGTCACTAATATCATTTGTCAACAAAAGTCTCAAGTACCAGTTACCAGTATCATTTGATTTGTTTGTTCTTGTTACAGGAAGAAGCTGTGCTAGTGGAGATGGAGCAGAGCAAGAAAAGGAAAAATAGTAAGAGGGAGAAGGAGATTGATGCAGTTAGTTGACGGCGGCAAAGCAAGCCTTGCTGCAGAGTTAGGGTTTAATTTCTTAGGTTAAGCTGGTTTAGTTTTTTTTTTCTAAACTGGGTTTATGTGTAGACCAGCTTTAGGTTAATTATGGTTTGGTTTAATGTTTGTAATTAGTTTTTGGTTTAATGTATTTTTTTAATTATTTTTATGCTGATTTTAATCAATAAAATAAAATTTAATCTATTATGAATTAACTTGAAATTTCATTTTTAATTATTTTATTTTAATTAACTATTGTTAATTAATTAAAATTTAATAATTAATTTAATATTAATAATTATTTTATAATTAATTATAGCATTATATATATGCATTATAAATAATGTTGTGGCACATGAAAAATGCCATAGACATCATATAATAGCAAAATTATGGTGTTATTAAAACATTTTAATATAGCGTAGCATAAATGCTATAATCTCTTTAATTTTTATAGCACACGAAAATACGCTATGATAGGCGGGGGTTCTACCATAGCTGCGGCTGTCACGGCGTTCTTCGAAACGCTACGAAAACCCTATAATAGCGTTTTTCGGGTGCTACCAATACCGACATTTCTTGTAGTGACCTCCAGGTACAATCAGGAATGTTTAGAGCATTTCAGATAAATAATACACTGACATGGATATGAAGTTTGATAATTGGATATTATTTTGTTAATCCGGATATTACATGTATAATCACTACATACATCTTCCCATAGGTAAAGTACAATGTTTAAATATATGAAACGATTTGAGTTATTAAAATATATGGAATGATATTTATAAGTAGTTTATAACTGGATTTTACATGATTATTCCGGATCAAACTCATAATTACCAACTTTTAGAATTCATATACAATGAATCCAACTCCTTCAAACTTGACAAGACCAAATATTCAAATGGTCGTCCTTATTTCTTGTCAATGGAGTTTGAATACCTTCCATTATAACCTGAATCGGAAAAACAGAGATCTAATAATGAACAATTACAATTGATAATCTAACAATATTAAGATTTTAAAGAACAATGGAGGTGGAGGCTTACCGGTTGATACTTTATGGGCTCAACTGAGTCATGAAAGTCAACATCTTGAGCGGATCCATGAACTGGGTGCTCCGTCTATGGTTAGAAGAGGAAGGAGCAGTTAAAGTTGAAGGAAAGTGTACAAGCTATCAACCAGGTTATTTTTCTTATTGATGAAAATGAAGCCATCATTGACTCAAGGGAGGGAATCCAGGAGCACGTTCTGCAATTTTATCAGCGCCTTCTAGGAGGGACTGTTATCCCCTCTTCAGTTTCTGAAGGAGATATTGCTACGCTGCTTCCCTTCCGGTGCTCAACCGCTGTGGTTCAACAGCTGGATGCGCCTTACTCTGCTGTTGATATCAGAAATGCTTTCTTCTCCCTTCCCAAAGGGAAAGCTCCAGGTCCAAATGGCTATCCAGCTGAATTCTACAATGCCCACTGGAATGCAATTGGATTGGATATGATAAATGCTGTCTCTGAATTCTTCCAGTCTGGATCTCTTCTCAAACAGTGGAACGCAACTGTCCTGACCCTTATCCCCAAGAAAATGAACGCGACATCAATCTCTGACTTCAGGCCCATATCCTGCTGCAATACCACTTACAAAGTTATCTCCAAGCTCCTTGCTTCTCGGTTAAAGCAGGTTCTGCCGCAATTAATATCCAATACCCAATCTGCTTTCATACCAGGTCGTTTAATGGTCGAAAATGTGCTTATGGCTACTGAGTTGATAAGTGGTTATAACTGGAAAAACATCACTAAGAGATCAATGCTCAAGGTTGATTTGAAGAAGGCATTTGATTCCTTGGAATGGAACTTCATCTTCAAGATTATGTGTGCGCTGGAATTCCCTGAGTCCTTGATGAACCTTATTCGACAATGTATAACCACAACAAGATTTTCGGTTGCGATCAATGGAGAAATGTGTGGTTACTTCAGTGGAACAAAAGGCCTTAGACAAGGTGACCCACTCTCTCCCTATCTTTTTGTCCTCGCCATGGAAGTTCTGTCTCAACTATTGAATGCAAACTACAGAAATGGGCGTATTGGTCTCCATCCTATGGCATCTAATCTCTCATCTCTCACCTAGCTTTCGCGGATGATCTTATGATATTTTTTGATGGTGAAAAGGAATCATTGCAGAACATTGCTAATACTCTAGACATCTTCTCAGCCTGGTCAGGCCTCACAATGAACCGAAGCAAGACTGAACTTTTTATACCAGGACTGAATCAGGCAGAAACTGTTGACATCTCGGGTCTTGGCTTTTCCCTTGGATCACTGCCTGTTCGGTACCTTGGCTTGCCCTTGATGCACCGTAAATTAAGAATCTGCGATTACAGACCTTTGATTGATCAGCTGAAGCACATGTTCTCATCTTGGTCCCTCAGAGATCTCTCATATGCAGGAAGAACGGTTTTACTCTCTTCTGTGATTTACAGCACCATCAACTTCTGATTTTCATCATTCATCCTTCCAAAGGGATGTATCAAGATGATTGAATCACTTTGCTCAAGTTTCCTTTGGAATGGAAACATCACTTCGAGAGCTGCTGCTAAGGTATCCTGGTCTTTAACTTGCCTTCATAAATATGAAGGAGGTCTTGGCTTTAGAAACTTTAGCATTTGGAACAAAACTCTTTGCCTAAAGCTCATTTGGCTCGTCTTCTGTGATTCTGATTCTCTTTGGGTCCTATGGGTAAAGGCGAATCTCATTATGGACTCTTCGTTTTGGTGTTTGGATGAGAACACGGCTGGTTCTTGGACGTGGAAAGCGCTTCTTAAATTGCAACCTTTAGCTGAGAGATTCATTAGATGTAGGCTGGGAAATGGTTGTCAAGCTAGCTTTTGGTTCGACCACTGGTCTCAGCTTGGTCCCCTGATTAAATTCTTTGGTCCCTCGGGTCCTTCCCAAACGGGAATTCAGTTGACGTCCTTGGTTGCAGGTGCTTGCTCGGAAGATGGCTGGCTATTACGGTCAGCTAGATCTCAAAAAGCAGAGGAGTTTCAAATTATGCTTTGCTCATTCCCCCTTCCATATCTTTCATCTTCCCGTGATGCTTATGTATGGAAGGTTAATGATATGGAGCTAGATTCCTTCTCAGTGAAATTCACATGGGAATCCTTGAGGCCCGGAGGACAAAAACAGGATTGGGCGGATAAAGTTTGGTTTAAAGGTCACGTTCCGAGCCAAGCTTTCATGATGTGGGTAGCGCACTTGAACCGTCTCCCTACGAGATCGCGGCTAGCTTCATGGGGGATGCAAATCGTTACTTGTTGCTGTATATGTAATCACTACCAAGAAACACGGGATCACTTATTTTTTAGGTGTTCTTATGCTGAAGAGATATGGAAGATAGCAATTAAGAGGTTGGGGTACAGACCGGTTCTGCTCCACACATGGGAGGCTCTTCTTACTTGGATCGATCTGAGGGTCAGCCACTGTCCTCCAACCCTGCGTAAGATCACAGTTCAAGCAATCATATACAGGATCTGGCGTGAGAGAAATCAAAGACT